GGCCCCTTACCAAGGTCAGTCTCTTAGTAAGAGTGTGAGCCTGTCTTAAGAAACTGGCAGAAATTGGTCCTGTGGATGGACAAGAGCCAAGGAGCAACTGAGTCTGCGCAGAGACAAGAGGTCAACTGGCAGTGACAAGGAAGAGTCATCAACCTTCATCCCCACGAGTCTTGACAACCACCACCAGGTGACTCTGCTCAAGCACAGATGGGAGGAGTTCATGGAAATGACTCCTTGGAACTAATCTTAATGCTAAGCAGGGACAGGTTATGGATATGTATAGGCATAGTGTGAAACTTCAAGCATATACAACTCTTTGCTGCATATAACCAAGGCAAGTTGCTGCGTCAGGTGCACACGACTTTGGTGGGACTACCCCCATGCTGCCCAGCACTGAATAAACTTACCTACTTTACAATCTTACTGATTGTGGAGTCCGTTTTCCACAAATCACCATCAGATATCTCTGAACAGCCCGAGTTATAGCACCCCTGCGAGGTGAATGAACTGGCACGGCAGCTGACGACTTCTGACTGAAGCCAAGAGATAAAAGCAGTTTTAGGATCTGCAATAGCTGCAGCTCTGCTCCAGTTTGAGCAACAATGCTTGGTGTTAGCAGAGCTGGCTTCAAACCGCCTGCTTGCAGCGGCACCGTGTACGTGGGGCGTGCGGGCTGAGGCTCTGAGCTGCAGCCTGACACCCAATCCCCTGGGCAGTTGTTGCTTCTGTCCCCCACATCCCGCAGTGTCTTGCCCCCACCGAGCTGCAGCATGGATGTTCTCCCTCTGACCGCTGAACTGCTCCGCCCAGCGGCACATATGTTCCAGTTTACCTAAACGCCAAAAAAGGTTCGTTTGCTGAACACATGGCATGACAACTAAAAATACTAATTTGGCCGTCTACTTGCATCCTCTTTACTAATTTAAACTTAGTGGAGCACTCTGCAAAATGATCATTCGTATCTCCAGTAAAGGAGGGGGGGAAATCTGTTCCAAGCTCGGCTGTGCTTTTGTGCAGCTTGGCATCAGACGGGTGCGTTTTCTGTGCTAGGAGATGAGGATACCTGCCCCTCTTTCTTTCTCCAAAATTAACTGAGCTGTTGCAAAGGGCTGAGCTAGCCTGAAAAACAACACCAACAACAAAACGCAAAGAAAACAGAAGGATCCTTAGTTTAAGCAATGTACTCATCAGCATCATATTTGGGATTATTAACGGGGAAACTTAGTCTGCTCCCTGTGCTGTCTGGACCTGGCACTACAATCAAGTGTCGCAGGCGAAGGAGGAGTCACGGTAAGGCCTAGAAATATAATCTGTATTTTTTTTTCCTGTGCAAGGAACAACAAATTTTCTTTCAATGTGCCATTTAATTGTGGTTAAGGGAAGGGGGGGAAGATAAATGTTTCCAGTATCATGAGAAAACACAGTTTATCTATTCTGTGACATGCTGTGCTTTACAGAATAGCATTTCCTTCCTGACATTCTTTGGGAACCTAAAGATACGGTAAACAAAAAGTTTCAAAGTCCTCAGCTACAGATGCTAGAGCACTCATTAGGTAGAAACAGTGATGCTAGCCTTGGATAGAGGATTCTTACTGGAAGGCTGGTGTGAAATCAACAGAAAAAGGAACGAAGCCTGGAGTAAAAACCAGCCGAAATCCTTAGTGATACTAAGAAAGGTGAGGATTTATACCAAAGCCTTAACTTAAAAGCTTTGCATTCCGTAAGACAAATTTTAAACTAAACAAGGAAGTATTTATTGTTTTTTTGTTGTGATGTGAGACTTTTAAAGCCATCAAATGGCATTAGTAATACCTTACAAAGGTCGTTTTTTATCTAGTCTTGCTAAATCATCTTCCAGTTGCTTGGCAAAATGTGCCCTGGCAGGTCTGCACAGCAATTCATCCAGAATAGTTATGGGTGGCTAACAGCTGTGTGTGGACTGGCAGATGATATCAGGGATGTTAATTGGGCCTTGTGGCACGAGCACTTCCAAACTGCAATAGGATTACAAACCTTCATGATTAAGGGACAGGCGGTAATTAACACTCCAGACACATGCACTCAGAGCTCAGCCATTGGTCACCCAGGTAAGAACAATAAGGGTCACTTGGGACAATAGTTGTATTTGAACCACTTAAACAAAGAGCTTCACAGCCACTAATTAAGCTAACTGCCCTATTGCAATCCCATTATTCTGGTATGGAGGTTGGTGGCATCAGGAAAGCATCAGAAATGCTAAAAACTGGGAGGCAGAAGGCACTGGAGTCATGACTACTTCTCTCTCTGAGACCAAACTGCTGCTATATGACGATTAGGGACTTAGCCTAATTCAGGGGAAGAAAACACGTGTCTGCTTTGGCCAACATCCATTTTTTCTGCAGTGATGCAGGAGACAACAGCTCATGCTGAACTAGCGTTTTATTCAAGGATGATTCAAGCTCTTTTAAGAACATGGGTAAAGTACCACACAGCAGGAGAGCCTGCATCAAATGAGATTAGCCCTAGAATCTTTCCCCCCTTAAGAGGCATCATATATATATATATAATCTCCATTTTAATTACATGGGGTGATCTGACATTTGTGTGGCTCATGTTTAACTGAGGGGAGGAAAAGTAGGTGGTGCTTTAAGCAAACAAAACACCCTCCATGTGTATGTTTTTATGCATGAAGGCTTTGTGTGTGTGTGTGTGCCCAAAATATTTTTCTGACTCTTGTTTGTAGAAACACTGGGACCAGTCCCTGGTGATAAAAGCTTTCAAAACTGAACCCTTTTCGTAGGCTTCTCCTCACTAGGCCCGTTGTAAAGGAGCAAGTCTAGGAGATACAATGATGCAGAAGTCTCCTGGAATTCAAAATTTTGCCCACCTGACAGCCCCTACGGTAGAGAGCCACTCGATCCTCTCTCTAATAGCCATAGGAGTCAATGTCCCCACCGGTACAGCTCCTGCCTTCAGTACAGGGGTGTGTAATTTCACACACGTCACCTTGCACTCATGCAACTCGGTCAGATTCGGAATTCACAAATAAATGAATTTATTCAGATTTATGATGTGCTTCCTAAATGAAGGAAGGGGAGCAAGGCTTGCCAACCGAGGATGAATGCCAGTATGAGGCTGGTGCTGAGGAAAAGGTTCTCTGGCAACAAGAACTCATCTAGAGACGAGCAATGACAGTGCATGCATGCCTGAGTGACCCCACCCCGAGTTCAAAATAGCTGTCGAAATTAGGAAGGGAGGGTGCAGAAAAAAGAAACCCAGCTTGTTTGCTCAGGAGAAGGGAGCTATACTTAGCAGAAAATATTTTGAGCAGACAAGAACCAAACACAAACCAATGGAGACATAATCAGTTTAGGACAGACTGTTCAGTTTTTAGAGATCGGGGTTTTGTTTTGCTGCTACAACATATGGCAGAACAGCACAGAAATAACATCCAACAATATTAATGGCTGGATGAGAGGAATTTCCACAAGAGGAGGAAGCTTACCACCGAGGGAAATGCAAGTTAGTCTACACGAGAACAATTCTAAGAGCACTGGCTATGTTGTTTACCTGCAATCGCTTTGTTTTGCAAAGGTCAGGCTTACCTATTTTTTTGATGTGTGTCCTGAAATGCTTTTCCTGCACATCCAGAGAGTAAACCTGGGGGCGCCGCTTGTTTGTTTGGACCTTTGCTAAGCTGCAAGGCCTGCCACGCGTGGCTGACTGCAGGGCACCTTCAGCAAAGCAGCTTGCATTTCTGGGACAGGCCAAAGGTAAAGAACCCTGGCTGTACGCAGGACTGGTTGTATGTACCTTAGGACTCCAGCTTTCTGTGTGTAGACAGAAAGCATTTATCAGTTGTTTATATATTACAGACATTCACGCACAGGTAAAATTAGGGATGCACTTAAGCTGGTATACAGCTGCCATGTGCTGATACTGCACACTTTGTGTTCAGAAAAAAGCTACCGTACTCATGCCATATAAAAGTACTTCTATACCAGCACGGCTGCACTGGAGTTCTGGGACAAGAGGACGTGCTCCAGTGTAACTTAAATCACAAAACCTCCCCGTACAAACAATGCCTGAGTAATATGCAGTGCTACAGCTCACAAGCAAGGCGGTGGCGGCAGATCTTCAGAGATGATGAAATGTTAATGTGAAACACTGAAGGTGACTACTTTGGACCTCCATTTTCACTCCATTTCTAATCTGACTTCCAAGACAGGGTTACTGGAAGGGAGAGATTGAAAAGCCCATGAGAAGCAGATCTTTGCTAGGAAGTGTTTGTATTCCCTGTCTGGTAGCTGGCATAACCCTTGCGAAACACAGCTAAAATCTGAATTGCTTGTAACTGGTGCCTAATGCTAAAATCTTGATTCGTGAAGAAAACCCAAGCCCTCATTGATGATTTTCACTGATGCAAAAGGATTTTGTTTCAGCAACAACATCACAGAGAGATATGCTCTTATGTATTGTTTCATGGCTCTGAGCGTGCCAGTGTGTGGTATGCTGGTAACCACAGGAATCTATCATCCCTAATGCTGACAGAGTGCCAGGAAATGGCTGGAGAGGCAGCGAAGCTCGTCATCGAGCCTGATTCTCTCTGCCTGTGCTTTCGTGAAGGCATCTCTCTACGCAGGGTTGAAAAGATCTGTGATGGCGTTAAGGAGCTAACTGCCAACCTCACAAGCACAGTGTCCAACGCAACCTACTTCTGCAATGTTATCAAAACTCATTTCCTGGGCCTCGAAAACAGCTCTGACACAAGAAGAGGAAGGTGGAACTGCACCCACACACCAGAGCAAACCCTCACGTAAAGGTGCGAAGAGGAAGGCACTTGTCAATGACCTCACCCGCTGTCATGTAGGCAGTATTTGCAGTTTTGCTGCTCCCAGGTTGTTGTTGCCCCACCTCGTTCAAATTCCACTCTCTGTGCAGCAACAGAAAGGAACAAACCAGGAGAGACTCCAAAACTGTGACGTATTTCATCGCTAACCCAGTTAGTAAAATTATTATTCATGATTCCTGTGCTGGGGGGGGGGGAGGCGAGCTTTTCATTAGGCCCCTTGCAATTCCTTTGTGAGTCGGCTCAGTCTCACTGATTTCCATTACAGCCATTGTCAGAAATCTATATTGCATCTACAGGTCTATTAAAATATAGCTTCCTGTCTTTTTTAGATAATAATATCAAAAGCATACATCAATTTCCTGTGGGAAAACATTGCAGGGAGCATTTGTAACAGCAACTGAAGATGCAGACCTGAATCTGATCCCGCTGACATTGTTGTGCAGCAAGGGTAATCTTTTAGGAGCAAACAATTACACCAAATGCCTGAGCAATGTGCTTCAGTGCTTTTATGGCAATAATTTGCCTTCAGTGCAAGTTAAATTGGCTGAAAGGAAGCTGTATGTTTCAATAACCTTGTGCTTGTCTAAGCATGACCAGGTAACTAGCAGTTTGCTTAAAGGTCTCTTTTAATAACGATTTGTAACTGGAAGGTGCGTTTCATTCACAGTATATTTTTGTCACTTATTTCAAGTGGGTTCTTTTATTTAATTGACAAGATAATTCTAGGCAATGTTGTACTTACGGCTTTTTAAAGTTTTTTTTTTTTTTTTTTAGAAAGGTAGTTGTGCATAATTTCAGAAGGCATTTTCAAAATCATATGGATTCCGCTTAAAAGGAATTTAAATGAGTCATTAAAAGTTAAGCCAAGAAAGAAAAAGAGCAGTCACCTTGCCAGCTGTGCAACTGGGCAGCTGTTGAGTGAAATGACTTGCTAGGAGGCATTCAGTTCGAGGACTGGGAACGGATATTTTAAATTTATTTAGAGATTTAGCATGGTGCAAATCCATTTTTTATAATTTGGATTAAAGATGAGATGAAAGACCCTTTGCACAAAGCGTCCACAAAGCACTAGGAAGATATTTCCACCTTGATTTCTATTTTTTAATGATGCAATGCAGGTATCATGAGAGAAAATAGGTAAGACAGCGAAGCGTACACGTTCTGTGCCATGGAGCTCACACAAGGCTACTGGGAGGTGACATGGTGAGTCATGTATTGCAACTGACACCTCATCGGCTCTTTGCAGGAGCCCTGGCTCAGTAACAGTGACAAATTTCTGGCTACCAAATATCTCCTCTGGCTTCTCATCGTCCCACACTCAGCTGTGTTACTGAAGGCATTCTCCATTTCTCACACACTTGCTTTTTGAAGATCATCCGGTCTGAGTTCTTGAATACAATAGGCCATTAGAATTCACTTAAGCACATCTTCTAATGACCCAGGCTTAATTTGAGGGCCTAAAGAGATGACAAAATCCCTTAATTAACTAATGTGCTCTAAACAAAATACTTCTCAAAGTCCTTCCAGAGGGTTTCTTAAATATACCTTACTGTATGTCTTTGGCTAGAATTGAATTCTTCGGGGCGATGTCTTTTATGCTTTGCATAGGGCCCAGCATTAACCACAAACAACACATCATGTCAGCCTGGATATTCTCCCCTTTATCAGACTATGCAAACACAGACTGTCAAAGATTATCAAAGTCAGAAGATTTTTTCAAGGCTAAGCGTAAAAAATGTCACGCCTCAAGGCGAGTGGATTGGTTGTTCTTACTCAGATAACCAGCACTTGGAGTTCTGGAGGTGTCACAGAGTCTGCTGATCTTGCTCTTTACTGCTTGTGCCAGCAATGAAGCACTGGATTTTTTTGCCCCTCTACTTCCAAACCACTACTGCCTGTATTAGTTTTGTGTTCACTGGTGCAGAATGTCCTTCTCATATCTCCCAACAGTAATTTATATTTTGTTCCACAAGATCAATTGCTCCGTGCCAGTGTGAACAGAGACGTACAAATGCACAGTACCACAGATGTTTTCCAAGTAACAGCTGCAGGAACATTTCCAGCATAGCTCCATCTCAAGCTACTATATCCAGGCACATTTCACTAACATACTCTTGATACTTGCCAGAAGAAATAAGTCAGATGCACAGTCAGGACATAACTCAGAAATACAGTCAGAAATAATTCAGGATGTGCTTTCTCAGACGTACAGTCAGTAGGTAGCTTTGCCAGCCTGGAAATATCTGGGTTTAGCTCAAGAGTTCAAACTGCATAAGCTTGTATTTAGGATCACATACCACACGGTTCCCTAAATACCTACAGGGTGTGCAGAAAATCCTCCAACACCTTGCCTAATCTGTGTCTGCACTCCTGCTGTCGCTGCAGCCTGTGGCAAAGCTCCCATCCCCTTCAATGGAAGAAAAGATAGAGCCCAGCAGCAAGGATTCGGGAGCTAGGACGGGAAATGCAGAGTGCTGTTTCCAACAGAGTCACCAGGTGATGATGTCACTGTTGTAAAATCTGTAAAACCTTCTATCCAAACGAGCATCAGTGAATATACGTGATACCGACCCAATCAGAGGAGCACAAGTCACTATGTTACCGGGGAGTAAATTGTCCATTTAAAAAAGTATGTGTGCAAGTGTCACAGAAATACTAAAGATCTTGCAAGATGGTTGACAATATAAACTCCTGCAACGCTGACGTGAACTCTCCAGGACATAACATCTCCAAGTATAGATGATGATATCTGCAGTCAAGTATAACCACAGCCAGGGTAAATAACATGAACAGAGCTTAAGTTGTCACACAGAAAAGGAAGGAAAATTGTATGTTCTGGAAGAGAAAATGTAAGAAAACCTGTGTTACATGAGCCAGAGAGAATGAATTTTTAAGTTAATGCTACTCGCATTTTCTCCACTTCCAAAGGCCATGATGAAGTTGCTTTAACTGACAGCTTGTTTGGAGTGAGTATGCTCAAGAGTACACAGCTGTTGTTGCAGCATCTGGAAGATGTAACAATGCCCTGAGACATGTGATATTCTCTGCCTTATAAAAAGTTTTGGTTTTCTTTGCTTTTGCATGAACCTGAGAATTTCTTTGAATGCAGCAGGGAGTCAGCCCAGGACTTACAAGACACATGAAATCAGGTCCAATCAGGGAAAAATTAATAGATTCGGCTGTTGTTCTTAGGAATTTGTCAACTTTTGGAGTCAAAATCCTTTCTCCCTTCCTTTCTCTTTCCCTTTTTTTTAGGCAGTGTGGTATGAAGGCAGCACGCTTTCCTTATTGTGTGAAATCTTAGGGGTCACAAATCAATGTTTAAAGATGGCTCAATGGTTTATTTTTTTATAGGAATCGGGAAAATGGGGGGTAAAAAAAAAAATAAGGAGAACCACGATGGTAAAGGTTTCTCCCACAATCATCTCTCAGAATGAAAAATACCAGGGAAATATGACAGGACTGCTTTTTATGAGAGGAGATTAGAAAACCGTTCTGTCTTCATTAATGGCAGTTATGTTATGAACTTTAGCAGCCATATTATGCACGAGAAAGCATTTTAGCCATTTTCAACTTCAGTCCAGCCTGACTCCAACAGAAGCTGGAGACTGAATGCTTCTCTAACAGGTATGCTGTCAAATTTAAATTATGGCTAAGATTGCCCAGTGATGAGTTGATTTACACTGAGGTCTGTTCCCATGCATTTAAACATTATCTGCATTACACACAATTTGGAAAACTATTCAACCTGATTTAACTTTGAAATCAGTCCTGCTCTGAGCAGGAGTTTGGCCTAGAAAACCTCCACAGGTCCCTCCCACCCTCAGCTGTTCTTTGATTTTATGACTATTTATTGCAGTTAACACCTTTGTGTTTATAATGCCCCTTACCTTATTGATCTTCGACTGTGAAAGTCGATTATCTTCTGCTTCTCCTGTATTGCTTCCAGCACTGTTACAAAAGGCTGTAAGAAATTATACTGTAGTTTAGAAAGCAATTCAAGAAAATACATCTCTTCAAGTCAAATGATGTAAGAATTAATCTTAATGTCAGATGACATTTATTGGAAAGGGCTTTTTCCAAAATTGGGCAGTGTTTTATCATGTACATGTAGAAACGCAGGTCAAAAAGGTTTGGATGCAGACAGTTAAGCTGAGAATTACTTTTTTCCATATAGTATTTTGAATTCAGGCATGTTGATCATATACACAACACAAAATTAAGCAGAAATATACATGAAATATTACTGTCAGCTGGCTGTTCCACCGTATCATTCATGCTACCAATACTAAAAGAGTAAAATTGGAAGTACTGTAAAGGAAGACACATTCCTGTCTGCCATTGGCATTCTCACATGTTGCAGCAAGCGTTTCTGACTAGTCATCTATTTTCTAGGAAGAATGATTGATTTACAGGTGCAGTCCCTAGGGTGACAGACACAGGTCTGAAGGCTGTACAATTGCAGACTGAGTTAAATGGAATAGTTGAGAACATTTTCCAGTTAGCAAAACAAACCGCAGAAAATAATCTGTTCTGAGTGAGAAAATTGCCTAATATGGGGCTGTTTATTTAGTAAAAGTAGCTCTGGTAAGAAGGTTAATTTAGTTCTTGCATTGCTCCCCCCAAGTACATCTCTGACTGTGAAAGAAGTACTTAATTTGCTAAACGTAAGCACTTATTTCACTGATCTGAATGAAAGCAGAAGTGTCCCTTGGCGTTTCAGAAGTTCTGTGGTGGAAACAGATAGCAAGAGACCCAATCCTTTTCAGCTCAAATCACAGGGTTTGTTTTTGTAGTAAAAAAATGTATATTCCTGCTGTTAGGAAGAAGTTATGTGAGACTGCAGGAAAACAGCTATGAGAGGCCAAAGAGATGTTACACTTCAGTCATCACTCCTGTGATTCAGCTTGCAATGACTTCTACTGTCAACAGACTTTTAAGCAAGCGAGCCTCGAGCCTAGGTCCTCCAGACTTGCAATCAAAACCAAGTGGCTACATACCTGAGAGTCTGCCTCTCCCTGCCTGATAAGGGTGACAGCTTCTGATAAGGGAAGGCACTAAAACTGACAATTGGTCTAAAAGAGGCAAAACAGATTGCACAATTGCAGTTTGTTGACTGCACATAGCCACGGCTCTTCTTTCTGGGATCTTCATTAAAAAATGTCTTAGGTACCTGAGACACTTCCTGCACAAGACATTTTTTCTTATTTTTTTTTTCCCCCTAAAGCTGAAAAGGCTTTGGACAAAACTTGTGGTGCTTTTTTTCTCGTCCCTTTTAGAAAAAGTAAGCAGACTGCATTAGAAAGGGGGCTTGCTTGCTGCTAGTGTCTCTTAGTGGCCAGATGCTTCTTCTCCCTGTTCCATGCCAGGGCAACAATTTAGCTGCTGTTCCGTGCGTGGAACAGCTTGATTCTTCTTGTGAAACTGGAGCCAGGGTTTGTCCAGCTGCAGTGGAAATCTACATTTTAAGCCGAAAGAAATGGATGAGCCCACATCTAGTTTCTTTTTTCCCTTGCCACATATTTCAGGAATATAACATTTAATTTTATTTTTTTCAAAGGGCAATTCATTATTGCCTGTCAGAACAAGCGTAGCTAGTGTAGTAATAGGACAGAACATAAGAATTGTGCATGCCCCATATTAGAATTTGTATGTACTGACTTCCATACTACTTGCTTGGAAAATTAGCGTTCCATTGATTGACTTAATGCAGAGAAAGGATCACATTTACAAAAATAACTTTTTTTTTTTTTTTTTTGGATAGTTCAGTTTTCACAGAGGTCAAAATCAGTTCAGTCAGTGTTTGAACCCATTTTATTCCTCTTTGAGAACTCCTATGTGCTCGTTGTTTTTGTTTGATGACCACTTACTCCCAGGGAGCTGGGCAAAGTCTGTCAGCTAATTTCACCATAAATCTTTTTTTAGGTTTCCCCTCATTTCCTTGCACTGCTTTTCCCAATGTTCCACAATATGTTTTGAAAACTGGGCCTCCGGACAAAGAAAGCAGTGTAACTGTCTTCGCAGCTTTTGAAAATCGCTTCCTGGGAGAATGTTCTGTTCCAGGCATCGAAAGGAGGAGTTTCCCCCTAGAAGAGAAGTCTTTCTGAGCCCCGAGTAAGCCTTGATGTGAGATTTCTACAGCACTATCAGCATACGTATCTCCTGATTGCTTTGATGAGCACTCAGATGCCTCTGCATGGGTTTCCTCCACCAAACAGCCCAAGCTCAGCCTGCCTGCTCCAGGCTCTTCCTCTTTCGTGAGGAACGTGACGTTAGACGACAGCTCTACCGCTCACCAAGCTTTATGCTGAGATCAGTTTGGAAAAGAACAATACGACTTTGTGCGTTTTTCTTTAAGCGTTTGCAGGCTTTGTTCTTCAAACCAACATCACTACTGCCTTCTCTAGGCTGATCAAAACTTTTCTTTTTCAAGGACCTCAGGTTTGTGATAAATACAGAAAAGCTGTAGTCATTTAACAGCTGGAGTCAAAGTACAAACAGAGGAATTATTAGACTCATTATGCCACGTTACACTGAGCTCATCCAGTTAAATCAAAAGAGTAATTATTATTAAAAGTTTGCATTTCTCTAGCCCCTCGGGATATTCAAATGCTTCACAAACACTTTAATTTTGCCTTACAACCAACCCAGCATGAAGGTAAATTTTCTGAAATTGTTGTCTGCACACATATTGGAGCTCATCAAACTTGCTTGCCCATGTTGGACTTTGCGTGCACGTAGCTTGGGTGGATATGAAAATTAGTATTAACCTTTGCATCTGTAGATTTAACTGACTGGTCAAAAGTCAGGCAGTAAATAGCACTTGGGTCTCCAAAGCAGAGCGCAGAGCCAAACCACAAGACCATCTGTTTTGCCTTCTGAGGGGTGTTTATAGAGCGCAGATAGAAGTGTCTGCTGCAAAGATGTATGGCCTTCCCCTTTCCACACAGTGGGATTTGGCTGCGAATCCAGCAGTGCCCTCCTCTTCCTCTCCATCCAGTGGTGGATAAACAGTGGTACGCAAACAAAAGTGCTACAGGAGATGCCTTATGCCTGTGATGTTTTGTTCCGCTAGCATGGATCTCCCACTGGTCTTGTATTTACTGGTTTGTCACCTCCCTAGAGCCCAGTCTGCTCCAGCAGCAGCCACCTGTGCATCAATTCCTGCGTGCAGCCACGCTGCCTTGGCACCAGGCCGTGAGCTGGGGAGCTGAGCCCCCTGCATACCCAGACAGCGAGTCCACGGGGCGTGCTGCCCGTGCCAATGCCGTAGTCCCGTCAATCTCCTTAAAACAGACATGCCTCGTCTCCTCCCGAGGGATAAAAATGCCTTCTGCCCACCACCAAACTGCTCCTTTGGCTGACAGGGCGCTTGGGGTCTTTTTGCTGTTCCAAGCAATCAGATTTCTGCACGATGCATCACGTCCCCGCATGCCGAACACCTGCTTGTAATGGCCTTCTTCCAGGTGTGCCTCGTTGCATGCACCAGGTTACTTTTTTCTAAGCTTAATATTGCCTCTTTTACTTTCTCTCTTTCTGGGCTGCAGGCCCAAACTCATAAAGTTTTTGCTGGTTGTCTCCGTCTCTTTCTCAGCGCTCTCCCTAAATCCCTCGGCCTTGGCAGCCACTTTGTCATGGCAGCCTGCCCACCCCAGCCCTCAGCTGCTCTGGGCACAAGCTGTGTCTTTCTTTTTGGAGGGCGTGCAGCAGTGCTGCCACTTTGACCCCGGCCTGGCTGTGTCCTGGCTTCGGGCACCTCATAAAGAGGCTGGAAATGTTTTTGGGAGCCTGTGGCTGGCCACCCCGCCAGGACAACCTGCTCTGAGGTCCGTCCAGTGCCGGTGGCTCACCGCTCAGGCTCCGGGGTTTCCCCCGCAAGAAATCCCGATCTGGCAGCTGGCTGCTTCACCGCGCTGCCTCCAGCCCGGCCGGGCGCTGCTTCAGCAGGCCCTTCCTACTGCCGCCGAGGACAAAGGACTGTAATCACACGTATCCAGCTGAGCATATCCAGCACCAGAGGAATAAAAGGCGCTCTGTTGCGCTATGCGAGCACGAGAGGTTCCTGCCAAAACATCGATCCCACAGGCTGCTGGGCTGCGGATGTGCCGCACCGCCTCGGGCTCTCCGCGCTGGCACGCAAAATGTTCTGGAAAGGGCCCTGGAAGAGGTCCCTTGAGCAAATACTCACAATGCGCACAAATTGCTGGAGCTGTGGGAGGGGAACAATCTTGGGATGGTGCCGGGCAGACCTCCGGCGAGAATTGCCCAGCTGGGAGCATCAGCTCGGTTAGCTTCCCTCCGTCACGGCCAGAAACTGCCCACGGGCCGGGAGATTTTGGGAAGCCCTAGCAGCTTTACAGGCTCCTGAAACACAGACAGCGAGGCTCTGAAGAATCAGAGCAAAACTGGGACAAAGCTCGGTGAAATTCCAGCGGCTCTCGCCATTGCTGCACTGTCCTGTCCCATCACAAAGGGGAAAATGCAGCACAGGGGAGGGGAGCGGCGTGCAGCAGGCTTGGATTTGGCAAGCAGACTGCCTTACGCAAAGGCAGGAAAACAGCTTTCATCAGTTACCAGGCTTAAAAAAAGCCTGGCACACATTTTTACCAAACCGATGCGGGATTCACTGGTCGGGAAGTAAAGAGAAAAGGCGCTGGGCGCTCTCCCTCCGCATGATTGATGTCAGTGCCTGCGGGGGGAATCCTTTGTGTGCCATCTGCACCGCTCCTAGCCGCAGGCGCTGGAGGAGGCGCAGACACCGAGCTGCCTGTGCTCCAGCTCCTCGCACTGCCCCCTCCATCCCAGCCTGTTTAGGCAGGGCAGGGCCTTACTGCTCGCTCTGAGGGCTCCAGGGGCTGTGCCCGGTGCCCGGTACCCGCTGCGGCCCCGCTGCCCCCGGGGCTTTTTGCCGGACTCCGGGACTCGAACCCGGGTCCCCACCCCCAGCCAGCGCCGCGGCCCCGCCCAGGGGGCGGGCAGAGCCTGCGGGGAGCCGCCGCGCCGCCCCTTCCCCTGCTCCCCGCCTGGCTGCGGGCTGCCTCTCGCTCCCCTTCCCCTCCTTCCCTTTCCCCCTCCCCGTTTTATTTTGTTTTCATTTTTCTTTTTCTTTTTTTTTCTTTCCCCCGACCCCCGCGCGGCGGCGGCGGCGGCCCGCCTCTCCCTTCGCAGCCCGTCGCCGCCGCCCCGCCATGGCGACATGAACCCGCCGGCCGCCGCCGCCGCCTCCTCCTCCTCCCTCCTCTTCCTCCTCTTCCTCCCGGCCCCGGCCCCGGCCATGGGGCCCGCCCGGAGCTGAAGAAGCCGCGGAGGAGCCCCCGGCGCCGCCGCCGCCGCCCCGCCATGGGCTGCTGATGGCCGGGCCCCGCCGGGCACCCCGCCGCCGCGCAGGGGAGGTGAGGCCGGGACGGGGAAGCGGGCGGGGAAGGGAAGGGAGAGGGGAGTGGGGGCTCCCCTCGCGTCCCCCTCAGGCCCCGGAGTGCCCCCCTCTTAGGGCCGGCTGGCTGGGCCCACCTCGCCCCGCTCACGGACAGTGGTTGGGCTCCAGAAGCCAGCCCCGCCGTCGCCTCATCCCAAGGGATTGCTGTGGGATCCCTGCGGAGCACCCAGGTTTGCTTGGACAGAAGCTCGGCCACCTTGTGGGGCTGGCTCGCCCCCATCCCCAGGGCGTGGGGCTGCACGGACCCTGGTGTGGGATGCGGGGAGCCGATCTTCTGGCCTCACCCCAGCAGGAGCTGAACTTCCCCCTGTATCTATACTTCAGCTTACCCTGCACCCCTCCTCGCAGCTCACTGTATAGTTCAGTATTCAGCCAAACCCCTCTCAGATGCTCCTTTCACCACGGCCCTCCTGCCTCCTTCCCATTCTGTACGTTCCTGGCCCAGCCCGGAGCTTTGTTTGCCTATTGCTTGTCCTTATTTAAAGTTTCTCCAAGGTGGCGTCTGTCCTGGCGTCATTGCAGGACTGACAGATGTTGCTCTGGCTTTGCACAAAAGGTGCTGCTCCGAGGATGCCTGCTGGGGCCGGGCTTTCCCGCTGTCCCACGGGGCTGCGGGCAGCCCCCATGGATGCTCCCGAGGCTCTGCATGAGGGAAGCAGCTGTGGCTCACCCGTCCCTATTCCTGCACCCCACAGGCCTTGGCACAGCTTTGTATGAGGAAATTGGCAAGCCAGGGGTTGGGACCTAGGTTTTTCGGGGCAGCACAGCACCCAGAGCTATGTGGCTGCCATCTTACATTAACACTGTGGTGCAGTCAACATTTTCCTTCCAAGATGTGTCATCTCCCTGCTTTCAGATTTATCACAACACCCCAGACAGACCTACTGGGTTAAATACACAGCAGTCCGAATGCGAGGCCACTTGATGTCTTTGCATATCATTGCCCTGGGATAAACTTTTCAAGTCCATAGCTGGACCCAGGCGTTCGCAGCTGTAGCATCCCCCCTGTAGTTTGTCTCATGTTTTCCCCTCTCCCCAGCTTACCTTGCACAGGCAAAGGAGCGAAAACACACACAGCGTTGGTGCGGTGCTCCTTTCAGCACACGTTCCCCCCCCGGGCCCACACAAAGGATGCTTTCCTTTGCACACCCACAGCAGCACCCTGCTAAGAAGCAGTAGCTAAACATGACCTCCCACCCAACTGGATTTTCGGGAGCACCTGTCTTTGCAGGTTTAATCTTTGTGTTTTTCATGTGGTGCTTTTTCGGAAGTGAGATTTGGTACAGCTGTCACACAGGTGTAAACGATATCTTTAACCTGGGTGACAGCGGAGGTGCACAGCCTGCCAGTTTGTTTCGCACTGCTCTGTAGCCTTCTGGAGAGGAACTCAGTACAGGGCTGAGCAGCACTAGTGGGTCACCAGAGCTAGTCAGAGCGTTCTCGCTGCCGAATGACAGCCCTTAGGGCTTGGTTGCTTGAGCAGGGAGCAAGTTATGGTTAGAAATCGTGCGCCTCCAGAGTGAAACCCAGCCATGGGAGCCAAAGGTCCTCTCGTGCCCAGGAACAAACTGCGGCGCTCCCCGTAGCTCCCAGGGCTTCAGTGGGGCCGAGGATGCCGCACACCCAGCTGCTGTCACCTGCTGCTACAAAGCAGCAGGAAACCCCTCGAGGAGGTGGATTTCAGGGGGAGTTCTGGTTCACTGACAATAGAGAATAGTTTCTTTCAGAACTCAGGACAATACTGGCTGTTTTTGAAGGCCAAAACAGCAAGATGAAGTCACTGAGATGTAAGGAAAATATCAGGTGTCTCCCCTCTGAGTACAAGGCAGATGCAGTCTCCAATTCTCCCTTCCCTTGTGCTTGCTAACTGTGACCATTACCAACGCCGTTTTGGTGGCCATAAAGGGGATCTGCACTCAGTGTGCAATGAACTCCCCTGTGAGCTCCGCAATGAACAAAACGTTAATGCAGAGCCTCTGTTTTGCTCAGTAGCCCGGACATCAAACACACCCCGTGCCGGGATGCCGGGAGGTGCTGCACGGCCCGTTGCCCAGAGGCTGTGCCTTTTGCTGCGCTGCTGCCCTGCGCAGATCCTGCTCATTTGCAGGGGTAGCTCTTGGCTTGAGCCCCCAAATCTTCAACGCTTACCTTCCCACTGTAATTTCGCCTATAAACCTTGGGGTTTAACTGCTCCTAACAGCTGCTGAGGAGCCGGCTTCCTTTAAGGGCACAGCCTCCCTTCAGGGAAGAGCCACAAACATGCCTGTACATGTGATGGCAGCAGAGGGGGGCTGCACAGCATGAGCCCTTGGACACAGGGTTTTCTTCATCAATACCCAGGGTTTCTTCTCTGAGCTTGTTTTAGGCCGAGGATTCTTGCTTTTAGGCCCAGAACCAGGGATACCAAGGCTATTAAATTCATGCTGGTTGGGCGGGAGAGATGAGCCTGTGCCATCCCATTTTGTGGACAACTGGAATTAGGTCCTTTTCTATATTGTCTCAACAAGAAGCTAATTAGACAGCAAGCCTATGCTCCTGGAGGATAATTAAGCTTTATAACTGTGGGTTCTCTTTGGTTAATGAGAAAGAGGAGACAGTACCCTCAGAGCTTAAGAATGCTGCTCCGCAGCTACTGTGCTGTACCTCATAATTGATCTATTGTTTCTACAGCAGATAATTTCTCATTTCCTCATAATTACCTCTTTTTAGTGCCTCGCACTGTATCCTGGTATTAGCTGTAATCACTGATAATTTACCCTGAAGCCAATCAGAGTCTGCAGAGCAAAATATTGGCCTCAGTGAGCATTTATGCTTTCAGATAACATTTTCTTTTGTTGTTGTCGAGGGGAATCGAGCCATTGTAGTCCCATGTTTTTTTGGATGTGGGTGTTGAACTGGGTAAGAACTTGTTTGGTTTTGTTGCTGTTCATTTACGCTAATGACTGCTTCCCAAAGACAAAGCGCCATCGCCGAGTCCCGTTCCAGCCTTTTTGCCCACGGAGGCATCGTCTTTATTTGGTTTCGGGGGATTATGTTGTGCAAAAGGCGGTGCGTGATGCCTCGCATCCTGAAAGCCTGTTGGCCCTTGTCTGCAGAGAGTTAGCTTGTATAAGCAGGAAAGCCTCTGGCCCTGTTTTCTGAAGTTGCCGCTTGCTCTTAGAGACTTTGTGAGCTTGATTTTCCTCAGAGTGACTTCCTCCAGCCCACAGTGATTTAGAAGAGGTCGCAGTGGCGGTGGGAGAAGCAGATCGTGCTCTGCATGTGTTGCCTTTCCTTTGAGGAGGCTAGCAGCGAGACATTACATAATGCCAGCTCTGGTTTACCCCCCCCCCTTTTTTTTTTTTTAAGCTTCCTGCTCTGCTTTCAGCATTTGCAGAGGCTGCGTGTGCCGGCAGAACTGATGAGCCACTCCGGGCACACAGCTGCGCCCTCACCACTGCTCTGAGCCTGAAGCCTGTACAAAACCCAGGCTGGCTGGGGTGGGCAGGGATCTCTGGAGGCCCAGCTCCCTCTTTTCTCAGGGGGAGGATGCTCCAGTCCCTTCCTCACGGTGGTGGCCCTTGGCTGGAGACCCTCGAGTAGCTCTGGCTGTGGGGGTCGCAGACTTGGGGCACACCATTTATTACCACAGTGCCACAGCTTGAGGTCCCCTCAGCTTCCCACCCTGACCTTCCCAAAGGAAGCTGGGGCACTCCAGCCACCCCCACAGGATCACAGCCCCACAGCAGGGCCCACATCTCCAGCTCCTCACCTTTATCTCCCAAGCTCCATGCGTGGAGTACAGGCACCTCCAAGAGGCACCACAGCTTGCTGGTTTCCCACAGCTGCCAGGGAAGGGCCATACCTGAGCCCCTCCAGCAGTGCAGGGTGAGCAGCCCCCTTCTTCACACCCACCCCACAGAGTGGCTGTGCTCTGCAAGCTGCCCTCTTATATAGGCTTCTCCCGAGCACTGGCTAACGGGTGCTTGACCCTCCCTAATCAGGGGCAGCTCGTTTCCCTCGTTAGAGCTTCCTCCGACCCGCAGCCTTGTGGCTTCCCTCACCAGCAGCAGCCACCTCTGCCTTCCTTATGGGGTCCTTGGGCATTCCCTGATGGGCAGGGCCTCGTCCCCGTGAGACCCCCCAGCTGGTGTCACTGGGTGCAGTCACGCCCCTGGCCTGGCAGCGCCTCTGCCAGGCTGGAGATCTGCGTGCCAGGCCGTAGCGGGGCCGATTCCTACCAAAACGTTCGCCTGAGCCCCGTGGCTGACTTTAATAAGCACTGTGAGGAGTTCGTGTCTTCAAGAGGCATCTCGCGTGCCTATCAGCAGCCAGAGGATGAGCCCGCAGTGCTGAAGGAGTATAAAATATACGCGGTTCTTCTGCAGGCGTTCATGAAATGGCATGGAGGGGGTTTGCTTTGCTAGGGTTTTGTTTTTGCTTAATTTAATCCATGCAGGCAAGGAGCCTCTGTCGGTTAATAACTTCTCCTTTGATTTTTAGGTTCAAATAAACCAAAATCTCAGAGCAGAGCTCATTAAAGTATATTGAGTTCCATCTCCTCTTTGCATCAAACACATGCGTTGCGCAGCTGGAGCTGCTCTCCCAGGGCTGGAGCCTGCCTTCACCTCTCAGCCACGGCTGGCTTGGGACGTTGCCACGGGGTGCCTCAGAAGGGGAAGCAGCCTGGCTGGGGCAGCCTCTTTGCAGCTTAAGCCCTTGGCTACCAAAGGCCTTTCTGGGCACAGGCTGCTCGGGCTCTTGACCGAGACAAAAAGGAGCTGCAAACCTCGTCCTGCGTTTTCAGCTTGTGCCACTGGTAGGGCAGGAGGGACCTGGAGGCATGCCGGCCTCACGGGGGAAAGAATGGGGATGTTGTCTGCGAGTTCGGGCAGGGCTTCATCTCCTGCCTGGCTTTTCAGAAGTCCCTACCACGGGAAATGGCATTTCAGCCTCCCTTAAATAGGGAAACGCTTGCATCAATCTCGAGTCCTCGAGATGTTTGGAGAAGTTCTTAAATTTGGAAAGCCAGCACTAAAATGAGGTCACATTTGTTTACACTCCCTGGAAAAAGCTGGTTGGAGGAAAAGAAGTGGCGAGTGTGTGATGTACGCGAGCTCGCCTGAAAGATGCTGCCAAAATATCTGACAGGCTTCCCTTTGTAGCAGGTTGTGGGAGTTAGCTCTGGGTGAGTCACGCCGACAAATGGCAAGGGCCCTTCACTGCCAGCCCGAATAAAATCGCCGCTTTGGGAATTTGGGTCTGTTGGCTGCTTCCACACAAGCCGACACGCTGCTTCGCTTGGTAGAGGTGCTCTCGTCTGCTTACCTGGGGGATGCCTACCCGTGACATCCCCACATGTCTCTGGGGGGAATTAATTCCAATTTGACTTCATTCCACAGAAGTCAGCTCATCGCTGCCCAGCCCCTCGCTTATTGAGACGGTGAAATTTGACACTGCATCCCCAAACATTTTTCCCCCGGTCACTTAGCTTGGAAACACTCACATATATTGTCTCACATCTCCGGCCAGCTATTTCCACTCACCAGGCTACAGCACGCCTTACTTTCCACAAGGCAAACAGCCGAATGCTGCTCTTAACCCCTGCCTGTCCTCCACAGCTAGCCCTTGTTGTGCTTGGTCAGGTGGAAAGGACGGAAAGCCGGGCAGTGATTTCCAGCAGTGAGGACGTTCATGGGAGTGTTGGCCTCTCAGGGTTGTTATCCGAATTAAAAAGATGTACAAAGCGTAAAGGCCGTGTGTGCCCGCTGCTTTTTCCCTCTCAGACCTAGGCGTTGCTGTAGCTACCTCCTCCTGCCTGGAGCGAATTGTGAGGAAGGAGTTAAGCCGAGAGAAAGCCCCAGATGCTAAAATTAACATCCATCCCACCCCCCGCCCACAGCTTTGAAATTTCTAATCACAACGCGCAGGGAGATGGCTCCTCCGAGCCGTGCACGCGACGTTTCCATCGCTGGGAATCACAGATGGCGGGCTGGAGCTCGGAGGGGCTCAGTCTCCTTCCTCTCCTCCAGCTTCGCCGTCCTCCCCCACCCCAAAAAGTCTTGGTTTTGGGTCATCTGTGAGAGTGTGTTACTGCTCACTGCAGCCGAGGCAGATGTGGCTGCTGGCTGCAGAAAATACTGATGCGGTCTGCAGAAATGCCCGCGGTGCTTGAGCTCTGCTGGAATAACCCCTGCTGCCCAGAAGTGCCCGCCTGGCCTCATGTGTGACAGAAAGGCAACAGCTCCTGGGCTGCCTCTAGTCCTAGAAATCTCAGTCCTGTATCGCTATTCTTTGTTTCTGAAACGATCCATGACCAAAAACCACTGCAAAACAAAAGAGGTTTTCATAATTGCCCTGAAGGATTTCGGCGATCCCGTTCACAGAGCGTGGCTGTCACACCGGCACAGCAGCGCTGCGGCGAGGTGGGGACGCTGAGGAGCCGGGATAATTCGGGGTAACTCGTTCCTCCGCTGCGCCTTTTGTCTGCGAGAGCCGCCTGCTGTTGGCAGCGCAGGCGATCACAAAGCCCACAGACCAGCCACGCGTTGCCTCCTGCACAAGCACCCCTCTGCCCCAGACCAAAAAGCAGCTGGGCGGCCGCCTGCCCCGGTCTTGAGTTTTATTTGAAATCGGGGAAACGGAGGCAGAAAGCGGGGGCGAGTTGGTGTGTGGTGGCCTCATCTGACTCTCACAGCTTCTCCTCCTGCAGCTGTGGGGCTCTGGAGCAGATAGTTGCAGAACTGCATGCACGTAGGGCATGCTGGAATTTTTTTTTTATTTTAATGGTGTGCATTTATCTGATTAAGAGCTATGTAAATTTAGATGCAAACAAGCTTCAGCCCTCGGGGTGCTTGGCGACTCGCCTGGTGTGCTCTCGGTGCTGGAAAAGTCTGCGCACCACTCTCGCTCCAAGGAAAACTTGCAAGCGCGTCATTCTGCTTCTTTTTTTCCTTATAAAGGTTATTGTGCCTCAGCCCTCGCTGGTTTACCTCCCTGCTGCAGAAGGGAAAGGTTATTTTCTCCTCTTTTCCCTTTGCTGTCACTGCTCATGATGCTGACTGCAGGGAGAGCCTTGGGATGGGTCGGGGTAGCAAAGGGATGTTTTCTGGAGAGGTCTCTGGGGCCAGCCCCGTGGCCCAAACCAGGGAAAAAAAGACAGGAGCAAGACCAGGATGGGCCCAGAGGACTGGGAAACCCATTTCTGTCATAATTACGGTGGGACCGTCCGTCTGTCACAGCAGAAGAAAGCACCTGAGGATGCTGGCTTTGGCCTGTAATTTTTCTTGCGGACCTTGAGGAGGGGTTACTTAGTCCACAAGGATAATTAACTTGCCATTTTGGGGCCGGTGGGGGCGGTTTTGAGACCCTGCAGAGCGTTTCCAGCTAGTCGGGAGTCCTGATCCAAGGCATTCCCTGCAGCCATTCACCTCAGGCTGTTACACCGAGGGGCTAGAAAGCTTCTGAGGGCTGGGCCGAGCTAGTGCTGCCTCGCCCGTCCTCAAGGAGAAGCAATTTTTTTCCTAAAAGCCAAGTGAAGAGGGGTTTGTGTTCAGTACCGAAGGCCTCGATGTTTATTTGCCACTTAAAACCTACAAGGCTGTGAGCGGGACTCGAGTGCTGCTCTGTGCAGGTTCCGTCTGAATGTTGGCTTCACCTTTGTGAAGTAAGAGAAGTGGTAGCTGTGCACTTAAACCCACAACGACACTGGGCCTTCTTCTGTTCAGAGCTGCCGTTGTCATCTACAGTGAGTGAAGTCTCTCTGTTTTCACAGTGAGCTTTGCTTGTTCTCTCTTTTTCAGCACGTTGCCTTATTTCCTGTAAATGCAGCGTAAGCTGCTGGATTAACAGGCTGCTCTTTCTGAAATACCCTGGTTAGGATTTGGCCAATATCCACCTGTTTCAGATTTCACAAGAGCTCACAAAAGGAATTGAAAGTTTAAATAACTTTCCCATGGATTTACCCTTCAGGGCAGAATTGTTTTGCCTAAGTGATTTAATGCTGTCAAGAAATGTGCAGACAGAGTAATGGTAGGAAATATTAGCCCAACTTGAATAACCTTTCCGATCGGATCTTCTCTCTCTTTAAAAGTACAAGGTGGAATCTCAGAACAAACTTCTCTGTGTTTTGTTTCTAATTTCCAAGCTGGAGGTTCTTGGTGCATTGTTAATGCTCAGGCAGGCCAGTGGGGGGCCAGGAGAGCCCCTTTACAGGCTCCTCTGTGAGAAACTGCAAACCGTACTGCAGAGAGGGAAAATATTGCTCTTTTGGTTGTGCTTCAGCTCATAAATCACTTAAATTCCCAAACAAACGTCGCTCTGTTTTGCACAGGACTTGCCGTGGCTGGGGAAAGGAACGAGACTCCAGGGCCGGGATGTCAGACAAACGTGTGAACGGCAGTCACAGCTCCCTGGGCCAGCTGCTTTGAGCTTAGGGGGACTGGGGCCAGGGCAGCCAACTCACTGACATCCCCTTTGGGTTTCCCTGCAGGGTCTGCCAAGTGCGTTACACACCAGCCTCTTCCAGTCCCTGCAGCTTCAGTCACCTTTGTGCTTTCTCTTGCTTCTTTTACCCAGTGGGCACGGCTCCGCATCTCACCAGGCTGTCTTTGGTTTTGCAGGTAGCTGTATCCAGCTGGGTGGCAGGTGGATCCAAGGGTTACCATGAAGTTTTCAGGACCCCTGGAGAGCCAGAGGTTGTCTCTCCTTCTGGAGACGGCAATCTCTAGGGAAGCTCAAATGTGGAAAGCACATGTGCCGAAAATTCAGCCCAATCAGGTAATGTCTCTCCTTCTCACCCTTCATCTCGGTAAAGGCATGAATGAGAGTGTCTGGTGTGTTTTGGGGGAACAACTCGGGCTGTTGCACAAGGGGTCACCTTCTGCCTGAGGCTGGGAAATTCGCC